CGTAGGGTTCTCTGTCGCGAAAGCACTTACCATTCAAAACCAAAAAACACTTTAATAAGAGAATGAAGTTCTCTTTATATTGAACTAAAGAGAAAGGATTAAGTGTAGACTTCTTCCTCTTCGAGTGTCGAGACGCTCACTGTAGTGTGTGTGGTTTTGATACTCGTCTTTCAATACGAAGGCGCTATGTTCGCCACACCCTTTCATAACAAAAATTTTTGAGATAAAGAATTGGGTACTACCCGTAGGGGTTACTATTCGAGGACCTATCTCGCCCTTAAAAAATAATTCAACAAATCAAATGTGACACCCTGCCTCGCATGGCGAAAACTTATCTTTCGAAAAGGATGTGATACGTCCGTTCTACCGCAAACAGGTAATGCCAAGTCTCCAGCGAGCGAGCAGCAATACACCTAACTGCTAGAATGCGTATGATAGCATCATCCATAAAAAACATCAACAAATCGTAGGCCGAACTACGGCTGCTCTGATTCTTTACTTTTTCAAGTAAAGATACGTAGGCACAAGGGCCACAATCCTTGTCGAGCACATTCCCCCTTATATCTGTAGTTTCCCGAACTACGTCGACTCTGATTTTCTCATACCTTTTGAGAATACGTAGGCCTAGGACCGCGAAGTCCTATCGAGTCTGTTCTTTCTCTTTTCTTCCCCGTTCTCTCTTTCCTCCTAATTTTCCTGTTTCAATCCCTTTGCTCTTCCCCTTTGGAACATTTTTTATAGTATAACTTTTTTAAGCAAATATAATCACACGTCGACAAACAAATGGTTCTCATCGAGTACGATGGATGCGAGGGGTGCTAATACCTTCCCCTCGCATAACCGACTTCCGAACCCGTTCTTGGTCGCGAGACCATCTTATCCGTTCTTCTCTTGAGGTTTTCTCGATATTTTCCCTTCCCCTCATGGGATAAATAAAATTCGGTGGCGACTCTTCTGTCATTTTCCTTTTCGCCTTCCCCGTCGTCGCGCGTATTTTTCGAGTAGCGACAGATAATTGCGAAGTATAGTTTGGTCTCTGAAAACCAAAGTTTATCCCATTTCGCGCCATTATCCTTTCGACCATGGCTGCTAGATTGTTATTTGTGGCCATATCATCACGTCAAATCTTTTGTACAACGTTATCAACATTTTGGTCCTTATTCATCATTACTACCCTATTATCCTCGATAGAAATTTGAGGTTGGGCTCTGGGAAGTTCGACTCTAGGTTGTTCGAGTGCAACTCTTGCATCGACTAGATTTTCATGGGGCTGATCTCTTTGGTTTTGTTAAACTTGATTAATGGTGGGATTCAAGGGCTATTCCCTGATTTGCCAATATGTATTTTCTCTATGGATGTCGAGGAGGTTGTGGTACTCCAAAGAAATCTACAAGGCGTGTCATTTGTGTCGTCACTTGTTGGTTGGATTGAGTGGTGCTTTATGTTAGAGGATTAAGAATTGTCCTCATTGTTTGGGTCAACATTTGGACCATTTTGTGGTTACTCTTATCCATTTGTTTCCTAATGACTACTGCAGAATTATTGGTCAAGTTTGACATTTGGGTGGAATAAACAATTCCTAAAGGTTGGCTATTTCGACTCATGTTTATCCCAGTCCCTGATCCTTGTAATGGCGAAGTAACATTCACTACATGTTATGAGAATGTTGAGGCGACGTTATGCAAATGTGCCATCATGGATGCTAGCATTCCATATGGTTGATCTCGATTATCAAAAGGCATAGAGAAACCTGGGGGCATAAAAGGCCTACTCGAAGCATTCCTCACTGGTGGAGGAGTTACTGGAGGGCCCTTTGGCCCAGTATAATTTAGAATAGACTCACTATGGGTAATCGATTGCGTGGGGATTGAACTTTCCATAGATGGCATTGGTTATGATACAGTCACTGGGACCATTGTTGCCTCGATCGAAGATACTTGGGGCGATTCTCGATTATTACTCGATGAACTTTAAGGAATTGAAACATTCGGCTTATTTAAATTCGCCATTTTCTTAGTATACCTTCTCCTTGATCTATCCTCGTTATTGGTGGCTACTTTGCCACTTCTTAATAACATGCAACGAAGTTTTCAAAGAGAAAAGATAACAAACAAAATTGCAACAAGAACACTGCTAGCACTGTCCCACTGGGTTATGTACAGGATCGACCACACAAATCGTAAGACATGTGCTAGTAATTCTTAATTTAAAGTTTGGAAAATAGTGAATATTTAAACAATATCCATGATCTAACAACTATTAACTTTGAAATTTAAAGGAAGTAAAGTGCAGAAACTTGATCAAAGACAATTAAATGTATTGAAAAATAACTTGAATAATAAAAATATAGAATTTGTGGTGAAAATATGAAATTTGCATTAAACTGTTAAAAGTATGGTGTAATCAAACGTACATTTTCTTCGACATACTTTTTTTCTCTACACGCGGATACTTTGAGTAATTTCAGAAACTTTGTACAGATTTGGAACACCCCGATCCTAATGTTAGAACCCTCTATTTATAATGATAAAAAATAACTGACTCTAACGGTCTTCCTACAAACAAATGACAAATGGCGTTCGACATGTCTCCTTTCCTTAGAAAAGCTCAACATGTCTCCTTCACAAATCTGGATAAGAAGAAAATTTTCCTCCTTTATTTGAATTCGAATCACATGTCGAAACAACGTCATCATCTTCTGTTGAACCACCTTCTAAAACTTTAAAATATTTTTGTTCACTTCTTATTCAGCATATCCTCCTCACATGACAAGGTAGCTTCGACTGAAAATAAGTGTGCCACTTTTTTGAAATCTCTCATAACTTCAAATAATTTTCTTTATTATTTCTATCAATTAATTCCAGGAATCAAAATTGGGAGCTAACAGTACCGCATGCACATACAATTTATTCGTTTTTTAATCATGTTCTAATTTTATGACTAAATTTAGATCAAAAATTCATCTTTAAATTGTCTCCAAAAATACATTTTCAAAACATGCAAGGTTTATAACTTTGAGAACTCAAAAAAACAATTCTTTGGCGGAGAAATATGTTGGTAGTGTTAAGTTCTTCAAATTTGGAAAGCCATGTAGAAGCAATTTTGGCTGATAAATCATGGGAAATAAGCCAATTAAAGAATAAAGTGGGTCTAAATACTTTAAAGATTATTGTTCTGTGTTTGGTTGGAAAGTTGATCGTGGGAATTTGAGAATGAAAAATGTTATTGTTATGCTTCAAGAGCGTCTAACTTCCATGCTTGAAGCTTAGTGGCATATATATTGAGGCTAAATTCATTTTCATTTTCTTGTTCTATTCTTCTTCTTTTTGTTTGGGTAATTCTACGTGTTTCGAAAATGTATTTTCAAAGACATTTTAAAAATTAGATTAAATTTAATTATAAAATTAAAACATGACTTAAAAACGAAAGAATTGTATATACATTAGATGCGTTTAAAAATATATTTTCGAATTTAAATAAATATTTTTAAATTTTTATAAAATATTATTCTAACTTATAAGATGAGATAAACAAATTTCTTTTTAAAAGACAAGTGGAGAGTGGTCCGACCATTTGTAAAGTCTTAATGTAACAAAAAATCATACTCAGGAAAAAAAAAGAAGAATAGACAAATAGTAAACTTTGAACCGTTCGAAAAAAAATAGTAATCTAACAAAAAGAATAGATAAATAGTAAACTTTGAATCGTTCAAAAAAAATAGTAATCTAACGAGCGGGGCTAATATACCCATTATGCTCAACTTTGAGTTCAAAAAAAATCATTTTACTTTAAGTTTATAGAAAGTGATGCTTTGTTTATAATTAAAGAAAAAATTAATCAATTTACAAAGAAAATTTTTAAAAATTGAACCAATATACTCGGTCAAATAGTTTAGTCTTGTAATTTAAATGTATAGAATTAAAATATTATTAATTATTTGAAATTTCAACTCAATTCCCAAACATTTAATTTTCAAAATTGCATCGTCGTTCAATAAACCCAACTTAAATTTTACATGCAATCAGTGTAAAGATGTGTCTATTTCTCTAGACAAAAAAAAAGCATGACACCATAAACTAAGGCATCATAACTCAAAGTAATGAAATTAAAAATACAAGTAGTATAAAAGAACATACTAAGACGCGCTTGGAAAAGCGAGTGGGTCTAAAATTAGACGAAAATATACGCTGCCAAAATGATAAGAACCAGATCTCTGACTAGAAAAGGAATGCCATCATGCTGATACCCACACGCTCACATCGCAGTTCCCGCTCCCAGCAGAAACCAGACCCACTCTCGCTCAAACCGCGCGTGAATCCAACTCTCGACCGTTGTTTCTTCTAAGGTGGTCCAAAACCAACAACATCAAACGGGTGTCAATTTCTCGTCGGTTGTCTACCACGCCGCCCAACATTCCAAAAACGCCAAACCGTAAAACACGATGCTATCACTTTACTATACTACTAGTAGTTCAAGGTTTTCAACAAAAATTATATTACTTTAAATACACTATACCCCGTCTTTTCTTATCTTATTTTGTAATAAAACAATATTATAAGAAAAACATGATTAATTAATGGTATAGAAATAACAAAAAACTGAAAACAAAAGGAGAAGTATAAAGTATTTTCTACTCTTTGTCAAGTAAAGCTAAGGAAAATGTCATAAAAAAATGCTTGATGTGAACCCGTAGCATTTATTTCAACGTGAGAATCTAGCTCAATAACGCATAAAGTACCACTACTCATAGATCACATCAATTCATAAGAAAATTAGTAAAATAAATTATCATAACTTACTAAATTTCATTTTTTTTTTCCTTCTAAAATGTTAGATAAACTTAGATACATTACATGTAGATAATAGATAGTCCCCTACATGATAATTATGATGCTAATAAGGGAGAAAAAAAGAGACAAGATTTCGCTAATTAGATAAGAACCTAAAACGACGCCGTCAAAGCATCTCATTTACGCTACACTTATTTCTAGGGTTTTATTTCATAGCCACAACGGTGGAGGTTCGTTGAGGTCAATCGGGATCCCACGTCGAACGAGTCCCAAGTAAGCTGCCGTTGGGGAGTTCTCAACCATCTGAACTCTGGCAGAAACGGGAAGAGCACCGTCATTACGTCTCTGTCCAGCGAGAGCAGCGATGGGTGGAGGCTGAGGTGGGTTGAAATCCTTGAGAACACCGGTTTGGAGAAACTCAGTGAGAACTAAGCTGCGAGAAGGAACTGGCGGCCAAGTGGTTAGACCAGTAGAAGGAGCGTTGAGGTCGAGGCAAAGACCGCCGGCGACCGGAGCAGGAGGGAAGTTGGTTTTAGCTTTAGCTCCACGGAGAGAACGAGCGGCGCCGTCGTAAGCAAGCGCGGCTTCCTCAGGAGTATCAAATGTACCCAACCAAACGCGTGTCTTCTTCCAGGGATCACGAATCTCAGCAGCGTAGCGTCCCCATGGTCGCTTTCTTACACCTCTGTAGTGTCCTTCACGGTTGGCAGAAGAAGATGAGGAAGCCATGAACACAAGAGAAACACAAGAGAAAAGGAAGAAGTGAAGTGAAGTGAAGAAGAAAAGAAGTGATTTGAGTTTATAAAAGAGATGGGACCCACATTGGCTCCCGTAATTGTCGGCTGGCCGGCACCACCACAAGTTGTATCTATCTATCTCTTTGGTTTATGTTTTGTATATATAGACAGACGAAATCACACGTAGTGGGGAACAAATTTGGATAAATAACGGAGAGCCGTTGATTATGATGTAGGTGGATGGAGGGTTGGGATGGAAGGAGGTGAGAAAGTGGTGGGACCTGTTGGGAGAGCCGCCAGCTGATAAGACGTGTGGGTGGAAGTGGGCGGTAGGGGTATGACGTAAGCCCTAGTGATGTGGTACGGTGATTCTGAGCGGCGCCTGACATAATTTTTTGAAAAAAATAATTTATAATGTTGGTGTTTTTTGGGGATTGAGATGTTTCATTTGAGAGAGAGAGGGAGTTGACGTAATGAAAGGGAAAAGAGAGATGAGGTGGAAGAATGTGATTGGGAAAGGGAAAAAGTGGGGAGGAGGGGGAGAAAGGAGAGAGAGTAGCACGTGGAATGGTGTCTGAGTAGCAGGGAACAGGTGAAAAATGGGCCACATTGGGGGAGAAGATGGGCTGGTCTCGTTGGCGTGTTTGACTATGTTGTTGTTGTTTCTTGATGTTGGTTGGGCTCTGTTGTTTCTTTCTTCTTTCTTGTGTATTGTAGTAATAAATAAATAATAAAGAAAAGAAGAAAAATAAAATGTAAGAGTAGTAAAGTGGAGAGTGCAGTGAGTGGTGAAAGTCAGGGGCGGGTGGGTGATTCAGATTCAGAGTGAGTGACTGCAGCTAGCAGATGGTCACACTGTGTATGCCTACAGATACGGATGTAATTCAATAATAATCTCATTCGTCACGTGAATTCTTCTTCTTTTCTTCTTAACTCAAATTATCATATTTTGAAAATAAATTTACTTCTGAAATATTCATATTCTAGGGCACATGCATATGTAAAAACAGGTACATGCATCATGTTGGTATGAATTTAAAACAAACTTCATATGTACTTCATAAAATAATATTCGTATGAATAATCTTCAAATAATATATTTCATTTCCATTTAATTATTCTTTTTAGTGATAATTATTTGAGAATTGAAGTTAAAAATAATTTATATATATAATTCAAATATTTTAATTAAACAACATATTTTTTAAATAATAAAATCATAAGAGTTGTCTCACAGATAATATTTCATAATCGCAATAGCGCGTATTTAAAATCGATCAAAACAAATATAAATCTTTAATAAATAGTTAATTATCAGTAATTTTAATATTATTTTATTTTAAATAAATTAAATTTTAGATTTATTTAATATTAGTACTTCATCGGTACTAAATAATTTATCCGATAATAATGTCACAACTTATAAAAAATTGAGAAATTAGATAGAATTTCTATAAAAGTAAATAGTTCAACAACCTATAGTTTTAAACATTAATAAACAAAAAAATAAATATTTTGGCAAAATATGAAACTAAAGTTATATTTAAAGTTATAATCTTATAACAAAAGTATAGTCTCAAAAATCACTTGCAAATACGTTTTCAAATATATTTTTTCAATATTAATATAGTGATTAAATTTGTCTCTCTCTTTCTTTGGTAGTAATTTATTTTTAGCAGCAAAACGAAGCACTTGGATGATTTCATTTGGACCGTATTCTGTTGATTCTCTCCCTGCACGAGGACAAGTTAGGTGAGTTTTTAAGCAGAAAAAAGAAAGTTACATAATATTTTTATTTATTTTTTGGGACCTGTTTTGGTTTTACTTTGTATTCATTATCATCATGATGACGATGATATGATAGGACGGCAACTTTATAGTAATTTCTTCACACTTTATTTTCCTCTGTTGAACGCTGGGATTACTACTGTAACACTACTATTTACTCTAGTTTGTTTCTTGTGTCTTTGCCTACCTTCAATCCACTTCTCTGCACATGTTTTTACAATACAATATAATAGGTGACATGACATTATTTTGGTCTACACCTAAAACTACAGTCATATAAATACTTTTTTAATGCTATGTCTTTGGTGTTATTGGCCATACACGTTTCTAGTTTTTCTTCTTGTTGGAATTTTAATTCACATGCAGATAAGGTGGAGAATATAGTTTTGGAAAATTGAACATTAATACTAAAGTTTGAGTAAAGTTCTCAACTTTATAATATTTTAATAAATTTAAGACATTACTATTAACTATTAATTCATGTATTCAATCTACATATAAATTGCATAAGACATTATTAACTACTCCAATATGAATTCATGAATTCAATCTATATATAAAATTGAATTGTTTTAATTTGAAGAGGATTTTATATAGATGTTTGATTTTGTCTAGTTAATTTTGTCAAACAAAAAAAAAACAGTTATATTATTTTTATCGATTGATTTTATTTAGTCGATCTAAGTCGGTGGTGATTTTGTATGAGATGTCTGAAATATGGAATGAATAGTTTTTGTGGTTGCTATTTGTATTTGTTAAAAGTACGATGGTGAGAACTTCTAATTGTATAGAATTGTATGAGGGTTTTACAGTTGTTGTTAGTGTTAGAGAATGATCTCGCGTTATGATGAAAAGCTTTGTATTTGTGTAGTTCAAGAATTAATTGAATCTCCCCCTTCAATTTATTGGTTGAAATATTTATAGATGGTTTATTGGGCCTTGATGTTTAGATCCATTAGGTGTTTATTATGTCTCTCTTAGGAGTGTGAAATTGTTATTCTCCCAATTCTTCAGGAGAATGTGACTTCCTTTTTTGAATAAACTTCTATATCATTAGTGTCCAAGGACACGTCAATCTACACGTTTCATGAATGGGTGATGGGTGGTTTTACCCAAGTCCAATTGAGGACAAGTGTGCGACCAATGAGCGAGTGTTACATCCAATGGGTCGTGTTGCGGTCATTGGGCGACTAGAGCCCCACTTTGGATGATGTGTGGTATTTTCCTATCTTTAGTGAACTTTGTATTGCTTTATGTTAGCCTTTTACAATCATACTGATACATAATCCCTCAAGCACGAGGATTTGGAAAAGGACGAAATGATTTAGTTTGATTGCCTCCTACCTTCACATTTAGACGAGTCACTCAAGCACGGCTTGGGGCGAATCACTCAAGCATAACTTGGGGCAAATCCCTCTAACATAACTTGGGGTAAATTTTCAGATGTCAATCAAGGTGAACCCTCAAACTTCACTTGAGATGAATCCTTAAATGTTATTTGAGGTGAAGATACGTGCAACATTAAATGTGATTAACGATGATTTTTTTCTTGAGAAGTTAAATTGGCCTTAATCCCTTACAGGTGCCAAAGACGTGGGGAATCTTTTCCAAATTTTGGCATATCTAGTGAGAGGTTGTTGATTACCCCTAGGGCTAGCTTTTGAAGCCCTATAAAAAAGGATTTAACTCTCACTATCTACCTTTTTGAATATCTTATTCTCCAAAGCTTTTGTAAAACTCTACCAGAGTCCCTCAAGCGCATTACACATTTGTTTTCTCGTATTACCGAGTTCAATTCTCAATCCTCTACTTGCAGATATAGGGCTTTTACTCTTCCTTCACATCCCTCCTCCTATTTAATGTATATCATTAGGGATTTAGATGAGAGTGATAGAGTGATAGAGCCTTCAAACATTAGAGAGCAATTTGAAACATGTTAGCGTTGCACGAGGAATGCTGAAGGGGCGGACACTTCCATTAACTACAAACTCTTAGATTTAGGCGTATTTGGGAGTTATGAGAGCACTATGTTAGAACAATATTTGTTCATGACATATACTCCTTGATTTTTGATGATAACAAAGTATTAAAAAAACATGATTATATTTGATGTGTGTTTATTGTATGCAGGTTCTAATACTTGTAAATATACATACAGAATCTGATATACAAAGGTACACTTGAGAAAAGCTGAATTGTTAGCTTCTGGTGGTGCAGAATTTGAAGAACACTCTCTAAGTGATGTTTGGCGTAGACTCTGAAGCAGAAGGTCTCAGCATCAGAAGAAGCAACATTATTGTCTCTACACTTGGTGAATGTAAATTGGCTTCTAGTGATCGTTCAGAGTTAGTAATAAAGCTTAAGCTATTCGTAATGCAGAAAATAAGTTGCATTGTCAAATTAGTTTGTCAGCTAGAGTCTTAGTTCACAAGGCTCCATAAAAGTTGGCATGTTTTACGGATATCTACTCTCAATGGCTCTATAGTACATGATCCCTTTGAAGACTCAGTAGTTAAACATGATATATAATGGATCAAGATCTTTTGGTGTATATATCTTCAACATCTCTTGTACTATGGAAAAAGCAAAGGCACTTGATCAAGTTATCTCTCCAACGATTAATCTTCTGCAAATGCTATATAAGTAGTTGAAGGTTCAAACTGAATCTTTAACAAGGATCAACCCAGTGAAGGAGTAACAAGATCGGTAATTATCAACATAAATGGTTATGCAGAACTTATGTTGTAGGTTGTAATTGTAAAAGCCTTAAGATTTCTTACACATTGAGTATCTTAGAAATCTTAAGAGCTTTAAGTCTTTGTTATGGTGATTTCCTCGTGCCTCTGATATTTGTATCAAGTACACCTTATTCTCTATTCTGCGGAACAGGTTGTTTAGCAGTTTAGGTTAAAGTCTCTCACTAAGATACTTGACTCATGTAAGTCTCCTGCTATGTACTAGAGCAACAAAAGTCTTAATCAAGTGGATTGATTGAGCAAATCCAAGTCTCTCACCAAGATGCTTGAGCCATGTAAGTCTCCTGCTATGTGCTAGAGCATTGAATGTCTTACTCAAGTGGATTGATTAAGTAGAAGTCTTGGGCTCGTGGAACATGAGAAGAAGTTTTAAGTGTATATGGCTTAAGCAAGAAGTCTTAAACCCGAGGGGTTTGAGCAGAAGTCTTGGGTTTGGAACTTAGGCAGG